GAAGCAAGGAAGGGGCTCGCCTGGACTAAGGAGCAGCTCACAGGGGAACTGCTGGAGGACCTCAGTGGGCTGAGGCCATGGCTGAGAGGAGAGGAGGGGGAAGCCTTGGGCTTGCTGAAGCCTTGCTCAGTGGCAGGCAGGTGTGGAAGGCCTCCAGTTTGGTCTTGCTTCTAGCCCTGGCCACCTGTGGCCTTGTCCTAGTCCTGAGCATTTAAGACTGTCTACCCACTTGCCTACCCAGCAGCCTATCCCCTGATTGAGGGAACCACAGGCTAAAAATAAAGGCAGATGCCAAGGTCCATCCCCCAGGGTTCCCCAAATGCCCCCCATGGCTGGACTGGGCCAGAGCCTTGCTCCCACTCCCATTACTGGGCATAGGCTTTCTTTCTGCCTCTAGGGACTTGGCAATCCCACCTGGAAGGGGTGGCCAGGGGGAGAGCTCTATCCTGCCCACCACACTGAGCTGCTCCCCGAAGCGCCCCACCAGCTTATTCCACCTTGGCCTCCCGTCCCTTCCTACCTCTAGCAGTCTGAGTCCAGGGCCAAGGCCAGGCCCAGGCAGAGCAGGCTGGCTGGGGGATCAACAGGGGAGGGTAGGTGTGGGCTCCTGCTTGCATCAAGCATCCTGGAGCACACCCATATTTAGCTGACCTTTTGTTGAGGACTACCAAGGCCCAAGGGTAGGTTGTGGGGCCACGGGCTGCCGGACAGAGAGAGAAGTCCCAGGCAGTGGGTGTCCTGAGGCTGGCAGAGGATGTGGGCCAACCAGTCAGAGCTGGTGGGCTTGCAGCCCCCTGTCTTCGGCCCCTGCCTGTTGAAGCCCTCCTGAAGCCCTGGAAGGCCCTCATTTGCTTTCCACCCTGCCCAGTGTCCTCCCAATGACCCCCAGCTCCTGCACGAGCGCATTGGGCAGCCCTAGGCCAGGGGACTGTGTAAAGCCCTCTGGGTGACACTGAGGAGAGATTTCCTCATCTGGCATTCAGTGTCTATGGGCTTTAGTCAAGGCGCCACGCCTGACTGCTGTGGGTGCCAAAGGAATCAGAAAGGACCGAGGTGGACGGTGGCTGACCATGATGCAAAGTTGGTCATGTGAGGTCCAGAGACAGGGAGCAAGCACCCCTCCAAGCAGGGGGTCAGAGAAAACTTCCTGGAAGAAGCCATCTGCGTGTTTGATCTTCATGACTAGGTAGGATTGGGGCAAGTGCAGTTAGGGAAAGCTGGGCAGGTGCTCTAAGCAGAGGGAACAGAAGTGCTGAGGAGAAGAAGGGGTGTCCCGGAACCCTGAGTTAATCAGTTTGACTCGAATGGATGGTCTGGTTAGTGGTCCAGAGCTGAGATGCCAGGCGCGGGGACTCTGTATTCTGAAGGGCACGTGGGACTAGCAAAGGTTGCAGGGCATCATTCACTCTACAGCCTATGGGGATCACCGGACGGTGTTCTTGAGGGGTGTCGTTAGCCTAGAGTACAATGACCCCGGGGCCCCTGGAGTTGTGCAGTGCAGCAGCCCTGCTGTAGCGTGATGTGGGCAGGGCTGCCCTGAGCCGTAGCCATCAGGTTGCAAGCTGGAATGCCAACTCGATCGGTGGCAGCATGAATAATTTCAAGAGCAACCCCCTGACTGGAGTTCTGCCATCATGCAATCAACAGAGATGTTCATATTCCGTTCTCTTAACTAACACAAACAGCATCATCACCTGAAGAGTGGCAGCCACCCCCCGGCATGATCAGTCACAACACCTCCACCATCACCCATGGTTCCAACCTGAGCCCAGTGACCACGAAACCCAAGACCCAGCACCATCACCAATACCATCCTTATCCTTTCCATACATATCATTGCCATCAATAAGAGCATCAGCCAAGCCCTGCCATTCCCTCCGTCAAGGGCCATCACGACAGAGCAGGGGCACTGGGTTGGCACGGTGCCCTTGCTGCCAGCCGGGCTGCGGGAAGCGATGGGCTGAAAGGGGGACGGTAGCCAGGCTGTGTTTGTCCTCCGGCCACGCCCTCCCCATGCAGCTGTGAGCATTGGAGTGTAGGTGGTTCGGTGCTTTGGTCTGGTTTTTGCTTTGGTGTTTAAAGTGGATTATGACTGAGTCAGGAGGCAGTTGTTGAATCCCAGACTAGGCTGGGGTGATCTGGTGGGTACTCTCTTCAGGAGTGCTGCCAGGGCCAAGTAAGTGCCCTGCAGTGCTTGCTCTCCTTGGGGTTTCTGGGTGCCTGTGGAACTTCAGGCCAGAGCCGACCCGAACAAGAACCCCGAGATCCTACAGGATGCCCTCAGCGCCACCCCTACTTCTCCTAGGCCCTGGCTGCTTGGTGTCTGCCAACAGTGGGCCTAAACAGGATGCTAGACCATGAATTTTCCTAGGGCCCCCATCTAGCTCCACCGCCCCCCTTCCCCCCCAGAATTCAGTGTTCGTTTGGAGCTATGCTTGGGGAGAGCACCACGTAAGTTGGTCTGACAGAGAATTAGAGCAAAAGGGACAGGCAGAGCCGACTTCCTGTTTGTCCTACAGAATACGGTCTCTAACCCAGACATTTTCATCACTCCTGTCCTGAGCGGTGTCCTCAGTTCTCGGAAGCCCACCAGAAGCATGCAACAGGGTCAGGGAGAAACAAATAAAGGAGACCAGGTGTCCTCATCAGCCTGAGCTGTCCCAGGCCACACCTGCTTGCGCCATGAGGAGGGTCTGAGTAGCCAGCTCCGTGCTATGACTCAGCACTTTTCTGAGGCGATGCTTCACAGGCATGACTTCTAGAAACCAGATTCTTTTGTGGAGGGTGGGTGAGTGGCCTCAAGGCACTGATGCAGGCTGAGAGCGGGGCTACCTGAGGCTTTCTGTCAGAATCACTAAGCTGGGAAAATGCTGGACAGGACATGACCACTGCCCTTGTCCACCCTGAATTCGTCCCACACAGTCATGGAGAAGAATGGCGCTCCCTCCCACAGGATAGTCAGGCTACAACCTTGCCACGTCTCTGGTTCTCTTCTTCCCCAACCCTCTCTCGCTATTTCATGCCTTTCTCTACCACACACCTCTCTGGATGGAGGAGAGCACTTCAGCAGCGCTTTCGTAAAGAGCTCATGGCCCACTTGTGTTGCTACCTGGGAGAGACCTCCTTAGCACCGCGCTCCTCCAAGTGTGGTCTGCGGACCAGCAGCAGTGGGTGGCACCCCCCGGGAGCCTATCGGAAATGTAGACTCTCAGCCCCCTGACTCAATGAACCGGAAGCTGCATTTTATCAAGATTCCCAGGCGATTTGTCTTCCTATGAAAGATTGAGAAGCTCTGTAGTGATTAGGGCTCACACCGTTTTCCGCCCCTTGGCAGCTGCGTGGCATTTAACAGAGATTCAATCTGTCTGGACCTCAGGTTCTTCATCTGTAAAACGAGGATCATGATACCAATCGCTCAGGGAGGTTGAAAGGATCAAATGGAGTGATGCTGGTACAGTTATTCAGTACAAGGTCTGGCATATGGTAGATAGTCACAGAGGGAAGATTAGTATTCTAATTGTTTTCAAATAAGAAGAGTGTGTTTTGCTGGGGAAAGATTCTACTTGACTAATCACAAGAAGTTTCGTTCTTCCTCCATGAGGGTGCCACTTGGCGTCCTGGGTAAGGTTTCAAATCCAAAGTCATGTCACTCAGATCCTGCTGTCACTGCCAGGAAGTGCCAGGAGGTTGGGCGATTGATTGAATTCTCTCAGCCTCCATTCCCTCATCTATTAAACAGAGTCGATGAGCAGAGGGCTGTTGGGAGGAATTAAAGACACGTGCCTGGCATGTAGTACGAGTTCAAGAAATGAATTGCAGAGCATGGGGGAGGTCATTTCCGCTGGCAGGAGCTGCATATCCTGCTACTGTTGTAGCGAGTACAAATCTCTGTCCAAAGACCCCAAGGAGCAAAGAATGTGCATTTCGTTGCTTTCCTATAATTTAATTTGTATTCTCTGCCCTGCTTTGCAGAGATGGCAGAAATCGAATCCTATCAGCCCAGGCTCTGATGCTCTTCTTTTGCCTGGACTGGTTCAGGGGACGAGGTGCTTACAGAGGCAGTGGGGTGGGGCGTGTGGGGACCTGGTCCTCGGTGGTGGTCGGCCTGCGTTGACATCTGCTGGGATATCCCCAACCCACGTGGTCTCATGCTGGTGCACACGCCAGAACAGCCACCTCTCTCGTTCCCAGTTACAGGGTCTCTCAGCTGTGTGGGCACTCAGGACCTTGTTCATGACTCTTGGGCGGTGTGTGGGAAACCCTCTAAGGCCGCTAGGCCACATGATGGCCTGGGGATCTTTGGGCTGTCTTGGGTCTGCCTGCCCCTTCATCATGGGCAGGGGAGACTCTGGGGTCCTGCTACTTCCCCAGGGTTTATCCAGAACAAGGACACGGCTCCCTCTCTTCTTGAATCCCCCTTGCCACATTGCCCCCTTTCTCGTTCCGATGCCCTTGACCTGCTTGGCATGGCAGCTTTCGTCCGTCTTCCAGATGCATTCAGTGCCCCGAGTCATCTGCAGCCTGACACCCAGGCTCTCAGAACTCCACAGATGTGCACGTCTTACCTCTGCTTTGTGCCTTGTTATCATCCCTTCTCAAATGCAATGCATGCCTCTGACTAAATGGGGAAGGAAAACAGGATGGGCGAGGAAACTCGGCTGGTAGTTCAATCTACTTTTCCACCACACTGTGTTTTTATCATATATACAGAGAAAGACAAATTAGGAAGTACATAGAAATTGGGGGCGGGGTGGGTATGTGGAAACTTGCCAGGCTTGAGAATATTTTTGATGCGACCGTGGCCCTCCAAGTGCTCTGAGCCCTTCCCTCTTGGGGTCCTGGGAACTCCTTCCCTGAGCCTGGAAACACACCTTCCGGAAGATTCTACCCTGTTGGCAGTATGGATGGTGCCTTCTGCCCAGCCTGCCTCTGCTGCAGCCACCATCCCTCTGCAGGGGGACCCCCTTGACCTCTTGTCTTTCTTGGTCCCACCTCATCAGCACCCCTATTGAGCATGCTCCAGTGTGCACCAGCCAGGCCGCCACCCCGCAGCTGCCCGCTTCTGCCCAGCCACCTGCTGCTGCCCCTCCCCGTGCAGCCTCGCCACCCCCGACCGCAGCCACTGCCCATGCTGCCAGCGCGCCCGCCGCAGCCCCTGCCTCAAGCCCCGCGGACAGTCCAAGGTAACTGGCCCACAGGCGCCGGCCCTGACCTCAGGCAAGGGAGGCAGGAACGGCCTCAGCCTTGGTCCCCCTGTTGACAACTGTGTCCAGCCCTCGGAAAGGCCCGTCCACGGTGGTTAGGACCCCGGGGTCCTTGGGAAGCCAAGCCTAGCACTGCCTGGTGCTGAGAGCGAAGGGGAGACTGGGGGTCACTGCAGGGGAACACACTGTGCGGCTCAGGACAGACATAGGGACGTGTGCTGCCCTGCCCCCCAGCACACGTTCTGAGATAGAGGTAAAAGTCTCTCTCTCTCTCTCTCACACGCACACACACACGGAGTTAGATAACAAAGAGAGACCTGGAACTGGGATAAAGGGGGAGAATGGAAATTGTCCCTGTGGTCTGGGGAAGTCAAGGAAGGCTCTCTGGAGGAGGGAGCAGAGACAGTGTTGACCTGGGCATGTCAGGCAGGTCAGATATGGGCAGATATTTAGCGACTAACTTGCCCTCTTCCTTTACCCTCTCTTCTCTCTTGATAGAGAGCATGCTACCTCCAGAGGTAGCCCATGTCATGGGACTTAAATCTCTGCTCCACCACTTACTGTCTATAATCCACAGACAGTGACTGAACTTCTCTGAAGCTTAGTTTCTCCTCTGCTAAGATGTTTAATGCAACATCTATTTTTGAGGGTTGGGACAGAAAAAAGTGTGCATAAATCACCCAGCACATAAAATGCTCTCGAGTCTTATGAGTTACTGCATTTTAATCTGACCTCCTGGATACCCAGCAAAGGCAGGGGTGGGGAAGGGGGGCAATGGCGGGTTGCAGTTTGCAAAGGGTGCAGAGGGGTGCGGGGAGGTAGACAGGGCAGGATGGATGAGTCATTCTAGAATGGCCAGGCAGTGTAACGGCCAGACAGGCCCAACTCTTTCTGGGCTGCATGGAGCTGTCAAGTTGGTGTTTGGGGTCAGAGCCAGCTTTCCCAGTTTCCCATGCTCCCTTCCCAGGGTTTTGCTCTGGGTCAGGGTTCAAAGGTCCCTGGCACAGCTTGAGGCAGGATGGAGGGTGGGCAGAGTGGCCTGCAGACCTGTGTGCTGCCCCCCTGCCCCCAGGCTTCATAGGGACCTAGGTGGTGCCAAGGCTAGGCTTTGCCCAGCCCAACTCAAGCCTCAAGGGTGAGCCCAGTCTGGACCTCCAGGGGTTGTTTTATTCCAGCTTCCTGGGGTCACTTAGCAAGTTGCTTCCCCTCTGCACACCAGAGTCTCTTCAGGTAAGGGCACAAAGAAACTTTGAAGAGGGTAAGAAATGTCTCTGTTGTTAAGTGGGGAGATGCCTCTCAAGTTGGATGGAGAAGCTCCAGACGCTGGGGCCTTGCTCAAGGGTAAGCTCCAGCACTGTGCTTCAGGCCTCTGTGTCTTCAGTGTCCTGGGGCCCTCAGGAGCCCCTCAACAGAGCAAACCCTTCCTTCCTTTGCCTTACAAAGGGAGATGAGGGCTGGGTGGAGGTTGGAGAGATGCCTGGAGGGGTCCTAGCACCAGGCCAGAGCAGAGAGGACCAGGGAACCACGCTCTGGGCCTAGATACCTCCCCTTCTTGCACAAGGCTAGATGGAGCTAGAGGGAGCCAGGGGGAGGCAAATGGACACCCCAGCCTTTGTTGGCATGGCCTCGGAATCCTTGCTGGGTGTCTTAAGCCTCTGCTTCCTCCCCCAGTGCCAATCCCTGACACAGGACCTTTAGCTCCTGGGATGCTGGGAAAGCTTTCTCCACAGCTGGGAGCTGGCTAAGCCCCATTGACCCTCAGCCTTCCACCATAGTGGAGGCTGGACACCCCTGGACACTCCCTCTTCCATTAAGGCCCCTACTCCACTGTGGTTTATCAGAGCAGGGCAGGCCGGCCCAGGGAGGGGAGACAATGCCTCACCCCATCAGGAACATGGTAACTTGGCACGGTAAGTCTGCACACCCCCTGCGTCTGGGGCACTGGCTGTCTGAGGTTCATTCTACCTCCATACCATCTGGGCAGCACTGCACACGCTTCTGGGTCTGCTCAGGAGCTTGGCAGTGCGATGGGTTCTTAGCTCAAGGCCACCCCCTCCCACAGCCCTGGAGAAGAAGGTGCTTCCTTATCCTTGGACTCTGCCCAGCACCTGGGCCCTGGGGGAACAGCTGGAAGGAAGGCAGGAAGCCATGGGCTGGGGGCGGGGAGTACGTTTGCAGGGGCTCACTTCTCTAGCATCCCCATCAATGACCCATTTGCCCTGGGTATGGACATGTGGTCCCCAAGGGGATCTGAAAGATGTAGGGAGAGACCAAGGATGTGTTCAGTAAGGTGTTCTTCAGTTTTAAGTGGAAAAAAGGGGGGGGGGGTTGTTCACTGACAAATGAAACTGGGAAACACTGAATGAGACGAAGTTGAACGTGCTGCTTAACTCCAGTACTTAGAGCCTTTAGCTCTCCAAGGGGAGAGGCCAAGAACGGCATTTCCTGAGGGCAACGAACTGTGGTACTTTCCCCCCATCACTGAGGTCCCATGGTTCCTGGGTCACAAGTGGGAAAAGGCTGCTCTAGGCCTCTTGGCAGCTAACTCAGCGGGAAGAGGGCAACAGGAATCCTATGCAGAGAAGCCTCTGTGTGTGTGTGTGTGGGGGGGGTGTCTCCTGGCTTCCAATGAGCCCTCCCTGGAGCACCCAGAAACCTGAGACTTGGCAGCTCCCTCCAGCCACGTAGGAAGGGGAATGGGGAGGAGGCCAGTGGCCTGAGGCTGTGCCCCAGAAGGTCAGAAGGTTTAGGGAGAAGGGGAGCTCCGACCACCTCCATCTGTCTCCTCTCTCTCGCTACTGCCCCCTCCAGCCCCAGCCCCACCCTGGCAATCTCTCCCTGGGGACTGAAGGGTTTTCTGTGTGTCTTTCTGGCTGGCTGGTGATTTTCCTCCCTCTCTCCTAAGGTGGTGGCACCAGCAATGGGCTGTATTGCTCTAACCAGGCTCACAAAGACTCAGCCCCCAGAAGCAGCTTCTTCCCCTCAAAGACCACCATGGTCTTTCCTTCACAGCCTCTGGCAACCCCCTAGGACTATCTCTGTCAGGTTTTCTCCTTGCAGAGGCTCCTGAAGACAGGGGAGCCCGCCTGCCAGGACTGCAGGCCCCAGGGCCTGGGTGGGGCTGTGCTTCTGGCTGCTAACTCCTCCCCCCTTGGTTCCAGGCCCCAGGCCTCTGCCTACAGTCCCGCCAAGGCGACCTCTCCAGCACCTGCCACTCATACATACAGTGAGGCCTCAGCTGCCCCTGCGCCCAAGCCCCGGGTGGTCACCACCGCCAGCATCCGGCCTTCTGTCTACCAGCCAGGTGAGAGGCAGAACGGAGGGGAGGGTGGACATGGCTTCTAGGCCACATCCCCAAAGGGTTGGTGGCCAGTGAAGCCCTGCTAACGAGGCTCAGCCCTCCTTCCTCCAAATGTGGGCCAGAATCCTATGGAGCCTGCCTCTGGCCCTGGGGAGACAGGTGAGCGGTGCCAGGCAGGAATGGAGCCACCCAGCTCTTAGGAAGATCCCGTTCCTGGCCGAGGATTTCCAGGCTCAAGGTGAAGGAAGAAAGGGTTTAGGGGAGGAGCTTGTTTCTCCAGGAGTCTGGGTCTGCCTCAAGCTGGAAGACAGGCAGGTGTAATGAAAACACCATAGGCTTTGGACAGACCTCCTGCATCATGCCGTGACCCTGGGCAACCTGCTCATCCTGTCTGGTCTTTGGTTTCCTCAGCTGAGGCAGGATAATGGAGGCCCAGAGAGCACACGTGACCAGCAACAGAATGGCCAGCACAGGGTCAGCCGGTGGCTGAGCTCACTTGGTTGTCTGTTCCATTGCTCTGGTCCCCATTCTCAACACTGCCCCCGGCCCCTCCACAGGGATGAGGACTCAGCCCCATGTCCCCTCTTTCCTCGCAAAGTCTGGCCTGCGCCTCAGAGCCTGAGGGCAATTCTCAGTTACCTCGCCCTCCCTTGCCTGCCCCCTGCACAGTGAAGCTGAGGGCTCTTTAGCCAGTATTTTCCCAGGCTGGGGGAAGGTCCTGTGTGCCCTGGTCTAGCAGATATGTCCACAGGAGGGCTCTGGGCATCTATAGCCGTCCAGGGCTGATACCACCATCCCCTCCTTCCCACTGGATTCTGACCCTGAACTCCAGGAGGGCAGGGCTGTGGCAGATTTTCTTCACTGGCTCCCCAGCCCCTGACTCAGGCCTGGCACCGAGGAGGCGCTCAGCAAAGGTAGTGGATGAAGGAATAAATGAATGACTGAATGCTGGTAAGGAACTCAAGTTGGGGGTAAAGAATGGCATGGGGAGAGGCTGTGAACTGTGCACTCTGGTGGCTGAACACACAGGGGTCATGGGTCGCAAGGGTTTCCAGAGGGGGCCCATGCAAGTTCCATGGGTGGCTGAGATAGGATTTTAGGTGGGCATACACTTTTCATTTAAAGCATATTTCTCTTCACAGCCATCTTGACTATAGAAATTCTAGCAATAATGACATTTTCCACTTGCAGTAATATCCAAACTGTTCTCCGCCCCCCTCCCAAATGGTTACACACACCATTTTCACACATGGTAACAGTGATGAGGTGAGGAAGTTAAGGACTTGTTCAGGAAAGAATGGGGTAGCTAACTCTAAGGGGACAGGGAGGGGGCTTCTCGATATCACGCCAGAAAGGAAGAGTTGGTCAAGAAGTCATGAGGTCGAGTCCAGACTCAGGAGCATATTCTGTTTTTGTTTTTTGGTTTTAAAGATTTTATTTATTTATTTGAGGAGGGACACAGCAAGAGAGGGAACACAAGCAGGGGAAGTGGGAGAGGGAGAAGCAGACTCCCCTGCCGAGCAGGGAGCTCGATGCGGGGCTCGATCCCAGGACCCTGGGATCATGACCTGAGCAGACGCCTAACAACTGAGCCACCCAGGCGCCCCAGGAGCATATCCTGTTAGGGAAAAGGAGAGACCCCAGAGAGGATCCTCAAGGAAGCCGGAGGGCAGGGAGGTCAGACAGGGACTGCGCCGGAAGGGCCTTGCTCTGGGGAGCCTGACTTGACGCGCAGGGCCGAGGAGCCATCATGAGCCCTCCTCGTGGAGAGCTCTGCCCGCGGTGTTGAGTGCGGGCGGTAGAAGCGGCTTCAGCATCAGACCGGCTCCTGTGCGGGGCTCTGCTCCGCCTCCCCCAAGGCAAAGCACTTCGTCCCGGCGGCCTGAATTCCCTGCTCTGAAAAACGGGCACGAAGCTATGTAGACCTCGCGTTCTGGGGACGAAAGGAAGCACCCAGCCGAGTACTTGGCACACAGGAGGCGCCCTTCCCTGTCCTTCCAGGGGCAGGGACACAAGGTTCTGAGGTTAGAGTCACGGGATTAGGGAGCAGTTCGGAGCTGGCTGCAGTGGTGCAACATCTCCGAGGGAGCTGGAGGACGCGGCTGCCCTGCGGACACGGGGACCACTGCGGGGAGGGCGGGAAGGAGGCCGGCTGAGGCGAGGCGCGCTCTCCGCGCCCAGAGCGCATTTCCGGCCCGGCCCGGGCTCCCTTCCCAGGCGGGTCCTCCTGGGCACCTTCCGGGGCGGACCCCGGGCGCCGGCTCTCCTCCGCAGGCCCGCCAGGGGGCGGCACGGTTCCGGGGGCG